CCCTTTAATCATTTCTTTCATTATTTCTGTGTTCTACACTTCACGACACCTCACTTCACAATATATAACTGACGCTACATATATCCAAATAAACTCGGAGTTGCCTAATAATGTGGCCAGGGGCTGTCGTTATTGGTTTAGTTGTAAATTAAGCATGATTATTGTGTATTTGAGAGTTGCACGAGCGAATGCGAAACTGCGATCGATGGATGAATTTTCGAAGGGAAGTGTTTCATTTGTAATTGGAGAGCGAAAGCGCACCTTGGAGTGATTAAGAAATAATTATTTAAATGGATGGACGTTCGGCAAGAAGTATAATTGAAGTAAAAGAGTGCGAAATGAATATTTGAAGGAATTAACGTGTGTCAACGCAGCTTTTTTCAAAGGTTTTTGGAAATAAATCAAAGGTGGATATTTTGGGTAATATAAAAACTTTTGTCAATCGGGATCCATGTGCTTTTAGATTTTTTGAGATGTAATTGTCTCAATAGTTAATGGCACCTTTCCGTCAGCAACTATTTATCAAGGATCTTAAAATGTGTACTCGAATTAAATTAAAAGAACTTTAATTATATTTAATCGTCAATTGCTGGAGCGTGACGTTTAATATCTATTTCAAATTTTTCTTTATAAATAGGTGAGAAGAAAAAATATGAAAATGGTGTTTCATAATTTTTCAATTAATTGAACGTATTAAAAATACATAAAATTCCGCAAGATGAATATACGTACCTGTATTTTATTTTTTAGATAGAATTGCTTATCATTTCTAATAAGTGAGTAAAGTTTGGGGGCGGGAACCCCAATAATAATAATAATAATAATAATAATAATAATAATAATAATAATTTAGTGAGAAAGCTAGTGAAGAAGGCTGGGTATTACCAAATGGAAACAAGGCAGTGACTCCACTCATGAAATTAACTATATGTCTGGGTAACGACGAGAAAGTTCACCCTAAGGTTATGAAGTCCAGCATTTATGATGGAGAGATGTCTTCGTGCTAACCACACCATCCCCCTATCCCATGGCAAAGAGGCTGTGCCACCGCTGGTCGGACAAGGCCCGTAGCGTGCTGTCGAGCCATAGAACAGAACAGTGTTTAACTACACATACAAAATGCGGTGTGTCTCAAAAAGGTTATCGCTTTTTCTATCCGATATTTCTTACTTCTCCCACCTGGCCAATCATAAATTGCAAATCATCTATCTTAGGAGGCGGTACACATCGAACGTTATGTCGATGTCTAATGAACCGTGTATGTACCATCACATAACCTCTTCAATTTTAACATAGCTTTCAGTTATTTTCAATATTTCGCACATTTTGGAATTCTGTTAGACATAATGTTATTCGTGGAATAGTCCTATTGAATACCACTCGTGCTTTGGAAAATCTCAGATAAATCTTCGCCTCACTTCGGGAGTCAGGGATTTATTGACGATTTCTAAAGCACAAGTGGTATTACCTATGATAAATACACGAGCAAGGCAGAGTTGTCCAGCTAGAATAGTTTACAAGAAGATAAAGCATAACATAGACATATCATACAGAGAACTTAAGAACATAAAATAGTTTCATAGGCATAACATTAACAAGTTTCACTTAACCACTCAGCAAATGCTGGAATGGCCCCTTTATTTTTTCTCAACATAAATGCAGCTTCTTTATCAGCGAACATTTTCGTGAGCTCTAAATTTAGTTACTCCGTGAACTGTATAAACTAATAATTGTTCTCCGCTTTCTTGCCGTAGTAATTTCAAAGAAACAGTTTTTTAATCCTGCTTTCCTGTTTTGACAAAAACACTCAGTACTACCCTCATAAAGAGAAGGGGTAGGTATTCCGGAGCTGAAGATCACGTACACAAATTGCTCTTGTAGCCCGTAATCACACAGTTTCAACAAGGAAGTAAGCCAGAGCGCGCGGCGCCAGAGGCTGGAGTTGGCGTGGGCGGTGGAGATGCGGCCGGAGGCGCGTGCCATGCTGCAAGCGCTCACCGCCGCCGCCTCGGCCGGCGATCAGGCGCAGCTGGCGGCCGCCGCCGACGCGCTGGGCGCCCCCTCGCTGTGGCGCGGCCTAATGCGCGACCTGGCGCGCCGCGCCGCCGGCCGCCGCCTCCCCGCCCTCCAGGTGCGCACGGCTTCGTTGCGGCAGTGGCCCAGTACTCTGCGGACTGAGGAGGCTCTTGGCTCTGAGTTACGTCCTAGGTACTGAATTGGGAAGTTTACCGAGAGGGTAGATTGCTTCCTGGCTCAGTGCAGATACTAGCGTACCTGTGTGCGAATAAAGGCTAACGCTTAGGTGCCCATCCGGGCAGGACTCCCCCAGGCAGAACAAGGATCAGTAGACCACGCGAGGCGAATACACTGTGCTTGTACAGAATACGCACGATATTTCACCAAAGCACACATTTCCTTACAAATTATCAATTACGCGAGTCTGGAGAAAACGAGATATGTTAAACTGTGTAAAACATCTTCCTCACCCCAACCTTTACCACCGCTCTAGCAGTTTCTCCCTGTCTCCTCTACAGATTTCTCAGAATAAATGTTACAAACATCTAAGCCAGGGGTGTCCAACTTGGAAAGCGTCAAGGGTGACAACTAAAACCTTTAATGAGGTTTCGGGTGATTCACAGGTGACTTATTGTTGATCTCGACAGGTTGTCCAGCTAGTCTGAAATGCGGGTGGGGAAGTAAGAATGAAAGCAAGAGCGATATCAGGCCGTACCATCCATAACGCAGTAAAACACATTGCAATATTTTGGAATTTCTGAATTTACTAGAAAAAACTTCTTAAATCTATAGTTAAATTTTATCTATTATTACATTAAGGGGTTGCTGATGAGGATAGCGAGCGTTTGCTACGGGCTCAATGTTATCGCCTGACGATACTGGAAGGAACTTTCACTTTTGACTAATAATCTTTCGCGAGTCACAATAAATAGCAACGCGGGCTACCAGTTGGACAACGCGAATGTAGATTAGTAAAAGGCAATCGCGTTTCGTCAATGAACATGAGGTGGGAAATACCATATAATAAAGTAATAGATATGACATTTGTAATTTTCAATTTCCTATTAATATCCCATTTGCCCCTGAATGCTAGGCAACTGTCCGTACAAGAGGTTTGGCAGATCACGTTCCCATGCAAAGAGATTTCGTGTAAGTGCCCAAGTTTCTTTTCTGCAACTGTTATATGAAATCTCCGATCAAAATGTGGTAATCTTTGACCCTGTAGAAACCCTGAGAGTTTGTAACATATATTCCGAGATCCTGAACACGCTCCTTACTTCCTTCAAGGTGCTGATTTTCTTAGATATACTGGGCATTCTTGATCTCGATTCTTAAGTAGTAGGAAATATGATGAGTGTAAGTCATACAAAGAAAACAAATCTTAACACGTCACTGTTTCGTATTTTATTAACCCTTTCTCAAGGCAACTGAATGGCATAATTTGTCTACAACCACAACTCTGCTCTCCTCCATACGTATAAACAACACGATTTATACTTTTGTGTCCGGGCGTCTGAACTCTCGAAGTTGTTAGTAATTTCAAACGCACGGGAATCTGGAGAAGAGAGATGAGATGTTCAAATGTAAAAATTATTTTCCACACCCCTGCCACTACTAATTCTCTTTCAGTTTCTCCCTCTCTTGCCTAATTCCCTTTCTTCTAGTACGCCCTCTCACTCTAACGCACTCTGATGCGCATTCAAGTTCCCGAATTGCGAACACTCTTTATATTTTTTTCTTTATCCTCCATTCTTTATTCACTCATCCCCACTCCCTATTCTTCTCTTCCTCCTGCCTATCATCACAATATTTTCTCCGTCTCACACTCTTCTCCTATTCGAGTTTTCTGTCCCTTCATATTTTCCAGTTTCATTTATATTTCTCCTTCTCTGCAATCTTGTTTTTATCTTCTTCCTCGCTTCCATTTTCTACCTCTCCTTTTTTCTCCTTCAAAACTTTATTTTTCTCTCGTTCTAGTCCGCTATTTCTTTCTGCCCTATACTCTTCTCGCACTATTTTCTTCTTCTTCCTTATCTTCAACTTATTATTATTATTATTATTATTATTATTATTATTATTATTATTATTATATATTGATACAGATTGTGATTGCACCAAATAAATGAGACGTAATGTGGCACAATGGAGATATATTACTTCTCTCAATCTTTCGCAAAAGCATAGCCTGTGTGCGAAATTTTGCCACATATAAAACTGAAATTGTTAAATTAAACATACTTTGAAGTACATAGTGCACATGGACGGAACATACATCTGGTGTCAACACTACAAAATAATGAAATACTAAGTATCGAAAAAAAGGTTTACAATTAAAAAAACTTGTACATAAAGTAAAATCATTGAACTAAATCAACTCTAGGGGATGCCGGAGCGTCGGCAACACTTTGCGCAAATGTGGGTGTTCCAAATAAAGCAATTTCTTCCACTTCCAAGTCTTTTGAATGACCTGGCAGTTTAGCCACGTTCTTTTCACTAATTTTGTGGAACAAATCCCAGAGCTGCGATGACTACAAATACGACCTGTGCTTTTACGCCCCACATTCGGCTGATCTCGATTTCCAAAGTCTCGTATTTAAGACGTTTCTCTATCTCCTTGGTTACGACGTTTTGATCACAAGGCACAGCAATATCTATCCGGTTTGTATCACGTGATTATCATTATTATTATTATCATTATTATTATTATTATTATTATTATTATTATTATCTTTGTTCAGTCCAAAGGAGGCAAACATCTTCCTCCGTGTCTGTTTAGACGTATGTAAAGACCAATAACGTAAGATTTCGGTGTTACATCTTTTCCATCTCCTCTCCCAGGATTTTTCGGACAATACAACAGGTGCTCAGCATCACGGACTTCTGTATCGATATGCACACATCACGGTTCAAGTTTAAGATGCCAATACTGCTGTTCAGTGTTGGGGATTTCACCTGTAGCGCCAAAAACAACTGCTACCACGACGATGCCGATGCCCGCGCAGACGATGCTGGACCCGACGCTGCAGGCGAGGGCCCTGGGGCAGACGCTGTGCTACGCGCGCTCCACCATGGACCAGGAGGGCCTGCACTTCCGCCAGTTCGACCCGTCGCCGCCGCTGCCGCCCCCGCCGCCGCCGACGGACGCGCCGTCGCAGGGCCGCCGCCGCTCCGCCGACCGCGCCACCGCCCTCGCCCTCAGGGGCCGCAAGGCGCGCGCCAAAAAGAAGGCCTAGGCGCCAATAAACGCCACACATCATTCGATAGCAGACATCTTTATTTTCACTGCCTCGCTGCGGCCTAGACAGAACGTTATGCAACGCTGCGCGGGAAAACGGTGAATTTTCGGGAGAAAAACTATTATAGGGCACTGGTAACGAAAAAGTGGATAAACCCTATCGCTAAATTTAAAAAAAAAATATCTTAGTGGTGTAGCCTGAATTCATGTTTTGAGGGCCCTCAATATGAAACACTGAAGGCAAAACGTCCGTCTGTCCGTCTGACTGTTAGCATCGCTAGCGGCTAAACAGTTCAGCCGATTTTTTCCAAAATTGATTTTTCTTAATCGATCTGGCTGATGTCGCGGCCTCTTGAATTTGAAATCGATACTTTAATTTTGGGGGGTATTTTAGTAAAAGCCTCTGGAACATTTTCCCAAATTTTCAAGAAAATGGCACCATTGTTGTTGGTTAAATTTTGCTATTGGATAGTGAAAAGAATGTTTAAGAGAATAGTGCTCGTTTAAAAACCTGATTTTTTTAAAGGCAAAAGTTCAAAACTTTTTCGGCTTCTGCCTACAACTACGATTATAAAGATAGAGATTTTTTCCTTAATAAAATCTGTTCCTTAAAGATATATTTTGAAAGATGGTCATATGTAATTTATTCGAAAATTTGAGTACTTTTCGCGTAATTTTGCCTGAAAATAAGTGCGAGAAAGTACGTGATGTTTTAACGCCAATAGTTTTAAATAATTTATTTCCTTATATTGGCAGTTACTGACTTGCAAGAGTTTTGAGAGTTGAACATAATTACAAACAATAAATTTAATATAACGAGGATTAATGATCTCCATAACACAGTTGATAAACACAGCAACTCTGTACTTCTTTATGGTGAAAATGGGCCCTCGGAAAGCGAAGGGAAAGTCAAGTTTATTGGATATTATTTTTTTAAATAATTTATTTTCTTCATCAACCGTTTATGCCTTCCACAATTTTGATTGATTGATCAGTGATTCGGGGCGCGACAACTCTGAGGTTATTAGTCCCGTAAGTGTAGTATATTTGTATCGAGGGAGTCGGCGATGATCGTACCGGCCGGATTTGGCGCCCACCTACGGCTGTCAGGCGTCTCCCTCCAGGCCGTGTTCACCTGCAGTTGATGGGGAAACCACTGAATGCGAACTAATCGCACCTCCCGGCCAGAGGCTCTGCAGTGGCATTAGTTGCTGCCCTGAGCCACTTTGGCCGGTACTTTAGTTTTGACATTTGAACTAAATTACAAACACAGTACATAGATTTGACTCAAGTATGGTCAGTGTTCTCTACTCGGCCCGCGTCCAAATGAGCTACGGACGAGGAGAAGCCCAGGGGCGTTTCACTCACTCGGGGACGAAAACATCCACCTTTTCAAATGTTGCTAACATCGCGGTTTATTAAATTGTATTTATTTATTTATCTTAAACGTACTCAGCTTTACACTATTTTTAGCTAAAATAATGGGAAGGGATTCTGGAACTCAAGAAAACGTGCGCAGACTGCCTTCTCCTCCATACGTCAAATACAGTTTTTACTGTTACCATTGTTCCACGAACCTCCGTCGCGGGGCTGACGCGGGGCTGTCACGAAGGCGCGAGGACTGTGTGCATGGGAGGCCGCAAGTTTGCAGGCTCATGACGAGATCGATAGTTAGCATGTGCTAACGGGGAGCGTGAGCTCCGGCAGTTAATGGTACGGCTCACATGTGCATATGCATGTAAACTATATATACCAAAGCCATCTTGTCTGTGATTTGTTACAATCTACGACCACACATCCCTAGCTGAAAATGGGCCATGGAACAGCATCACTAGCCAGGTCCAAACGGTGTGCAAGTTGATATCGTCCTCGTACTATTAGAACTAAATGGCTTTTAAAAACTGGAGCAAGAATTGGGCGTAATTCAATTACATTGAAAACTTAATCCATAGATTATTCAACTTTTATCATTTACATTCATTCACAAAATTTTAAATGTATCAAAATATGAAGAGAATGCTAAATATTATGTAAAATTTCTCCTAAGGTCGCCACGGCGAGATTTCACACGTCACGTTTCAAAAGAGATTATTGCTTGTTTCGTGGTTTTACATACACTAGAATGTGGAAATTAAATGAATATTTGGGTTCTTTTTGCAGGTGGAAACAGTTATTAAGATTAGGCTTACGCTATTTGTACGATGTAAAACAAAGGTTTTCGAAAGCTAAAATCCATGCCATTTTCACGTAACATAAAATATATGCGTGTGTCTGTAATACATAAGACCTACAGCAACTTGGCCGCTTCGAGGCAATAGTGGCGCGCCAGGTCCAAATATTCATTCGAAACTGCGAGACTATGTTAACAGACGGTGTCAATACTACGCTCCTACTTCACTTAGTATGACTTGTATCACATTTCATTTAAATGGATAAGAAATAAGTGTAAAGGTAAAGACTGTCTCCCGAAAGACAGCAAGATACTGAAGACATATCAATGATTTTATTATAGATGATCTTATTTTTTAAAAATTCCTTATTTTTAAAAGACAATGAATAATTAATTATACATCTAAATAAAATGAATACATTTGAAGTAATATTGATATCATGAACAATTATGAGTCACTAAAAATTACTTTATAAATAAAATTCATTATCTATAATAATTGTGGTATGTATTTTTTCAATATAAATCATTATTAACTGTTGAAACCGTGAAGAAATTGATAGCATTACCATCTCAAAAGTATTTTTAACACAGAAGTCTTCACTTATAACTTTTAAGGTCGTCACTTATAACTTTTAAGGTTATAATATTTGAAAATCACTTAATGATAACTCTAATTTAGCTTAATTGTTCAGAGTTAATATTTGTTTATGAATCTTGTTTAATTCAAACGAAAAATGAGACTCCCAACAGCGGGAGTCAGGAGTAGAGGACAAGGAAACAACAATGAAAGTTTCATAAGTTGGCTATGCTGGTAGGAAACCCTTTAAACTGCCATATTGCGAGTCTAGTGCGGCGACGAAGTCTAGTCTGTAGTACTTCGTGGCTGAGGTCAGAACCTGAGGAGATTTTTTAATATAATTTGTTTGAACTGTCATTATTATCTGAAATTTCAGGTAAGGATGAAATTGTATTGTAAATGGTGATAGTGTAAGTTTCAACCATGATGCAAATATGATGACATTCATGATGCAGTAATTGCAGTATTATTTTGTCCTATTGGGTTACTAATCATCATTGTCAAATGCTTTCTTTTTGAATTAGTATGACCATTTAATTTTTCCTAAACCTAACATCAGCATCTAACAGCTGCAGCTCTTTAAAACACTTTTTTAAACGTGAATGAATGTGTATGAGTATGATATTGTACGCAAATTATAGTATACAATTGCTATTACATATAAAATTTTAATTTATCTCAGCGTCAAAGTACGCGTTGTATTGGAAATGCACGTATTGCTAAAAATCATAATGGATTAGGAATTCATAAGTGTTGATGAATGCATGTGGGTTCGTGTTCAATCTGAACCCATTAACGACCACTTTATTTTTTCGTCAACTTTTTGTTTGTTAACCTCATTGAAATCAGTCAAATGTACCTAATTATGGTAATATTGGTGATATATTTTTCATTAATAGTAATATATTACGTGCACTCAAATGAGGGCGCTGGGCGTTAACGCTATCTTACGTCGGTTGTATTGGGAAATAATGTTACATGAAGTAATAGATTTTGAATTCAGAAAGATTTTTCATTTTGGTGATAAATACCAAAACAACACATACTGTCACTGAGTATTTGGTTTGCTTGAACATTCCATTAGAACATCTCAATGTTTGTTGCGAAGCGCGGTGCAATGGCGTGTCCTTGTACATCTGAAAGTACGCTGTCGTGACTGGAATGTTCGAAAATTAGCTGTCCTCTCAGCTTACGGGTATTTATATGCTATTTTAAAAAGAAAATTGTCACATCACGTCTGAAGCTAAGATCACAAGCTTCTTAGCTTGGCAACAAAAAGGTCTATCCATTCAGTCAGACCTTCAATGGAACGTCCATTTAAATGAATTGAACACTAAATTAAGTTTTTTTTATGCTACGCTTCCAGAATTCATTCAGATTGAGTTGGCCTCCATGCCGCTGCATATTTCCCGAATGATCAATCCCGTCTGAGATAAGGCATAATATTCTGGGAAATACATCTTATATATGAATCAGTTGTTTTTGTTTAAAATGATTTACTTAAGGACAGGAATATATTTTCAGCAAACGCTGATATCTATAACTACAACACTCGATGTAGTAATCATATTCATCAGGTGAAAGTATCAACAGCTCACTACAAAAAATTTATACACAATAAATGTACATTATTTTACACCATGCCAGATGACATTTAACTATTAAGTTGGATAAAAAAAAGTCTAAGTTATATGTAAAATCTTTTCTGCTGCACAAGTGTTTTTCGATACAATTAGAGACAATAGTGAGCATCCAAAAGAAAAGTAATATTAATTTTAACAACGACATTTAGTGTGTTATTTACCATTTGGATTGTATAATTCTAAAGAAGCTGTAACAAGTATTGTACTTCAGCTTCTGGGTCAATAAACCCCAGTTCCATCCAGGTTTTCTTCCAGTTTCCCTGATCTTAGTGCTGAGATGACAGTAGTTTTGCTTCTGGGCTATTATAGAATATAATAATAATAATAATAATAAATAATTAATAATAATGGCGATCAGATGGCCGAAATCGCGAAGGCAGTAGAGCCATAGTGCGTTTGCGGCCAAAAGATCGCGGGTTCGAGTCCGCTGCGGGCATCGGGTGTTATTTGTGTTATGTATGAGTGTGTCGTCCTTCCACCCATCATTATCATTTCATTCATCCATACCCTCAGCTTCACA